TTCTTGAATAGCTTTCCATTTATTGCAATCTTCATTTGTAGATATGGACCTCTGATGCATAATAGAGTCTTAATTTGATTATTAAGTTATCAGAGTGTTTTGTTTGTTTATGCATTACAGGAAACCCTGAATTCTGTGCACTTGATGCAGCTACTGTCAAGCATGAAGCATATAAATGCAAGCTCTATTCCATGCTCACAACAAGGACCACAGGAGCCCACCTTGCAATTGACAGCTTTGACACAAACACTGCTGACTGATGGGAAGAGTGTGCTACCCATTTCTTGGCAGCAAAAATAATATTCTTGCAATGTTGCTTTCTCTTGTCAAGGACTGAAGTCATGAGCACATCCAAATCTTTTACCTTTTGGGAAGTCATTACTTTCAAAACTGTGGGAAAAATACACTTTCTCTGCTGTGATATACTAGAGTTATCCTTTGAGGAAATTTCATTTGAGAAAAAGACATGGAGAGGGATTTCTTATTAAGATCTACTTTCAGCAGCTAACTGTAGCTAGCTAGAGCTGTACTCATACAGTGGAGAGGGAATGTACACACAAATGCTTATTTTAATGAGAGAAAAAGTGTAGGTAGAAGCAGATGACCTAGATGATTTTATGAATAAAAGATTTAATCTGATGCAATCATTTCATTAATACACACATGGCACCAAATGAAAACAGAGCATAGCAGATGGCTATGAGAGGTCTTAAAAAGATATTTTCAGTTTAGTAGCTAATGACTTAGATTTCATGGACTACACCAAATACTATCAGAAGTGAAACATTTATTGTAGAATCTTCCAAAGAATGTTCTAAAGCTTTATGACAGTAATGCTGAAAAATCTCTCTTTTGTGACACTAGTTAGAAAATTCAGTCACATTATACATTATACAGCTATAGAGCAATGTAATTTTTTCACACAAACTGCGAAAAGAAAACTCCATTATTTTCTTTATTATTAGCCTATATTTATTTAATTTAATTTTAATTTATTTAAGTAATTTGCTTCAAGTTTGCTACAAATGGTGGAAATAGTGGTTTCCAGTGTAACAATGAAATGCGGTCATTTGCCATGCAATTTTAGAATATAAATATGACATATATTCATATGCTATGATGATGGATCCACTGCAAGCAGCTGCAAAAAATTGCATTGAGGGAGATTGTTGGCATAGTACTAATAATTGATTCATTTTAAGATAAAATATTTACATAAAAGTGTACATTTAGGATGAATGTGTAACTTTAAAAGGAGGCAGTGAGTGTGGAAGGTTCAGGTAAGATCTGTATTGTGTTTTTACATTAGTAATACACACTAATGTGTTTTTACATTAGTAAACCTCAGCAGAGAGAGCAGGGAAGCAGGGGAATAATGCTGTTTAGCTCACTGTATTACAGCACTGGCCATGTGGCTGCCTCAGCCTGACCCTCTCATGTTCTCCATGTCCAGGTTGCAGGGGGTCTACAGACAAGCCAAATGTGTCAGTTCTGCTCTCAGTTGGCTCTGCTCCATCCTTGAGGAATGTGCATCCTGCAAGACTTGATTGCTCTCCAGACCCTTTACAAAACCAGATCAGGGCAAAAGGGCTGGATTTCTTAGAGAGAATCTGGCCTACAGCTTCTTACAGACAGATTAACCTCAGTTTGGCTTCAAACTGAGGACACATTCAAGTCTCATTCTCCAGACCTAATCCAAGATCAACTTAGTCTACATTACTTCATCAGAAATTAATATCACGGCACTGGTGTCTTTGAACACATGCAGACTGAATTTCCTTTTGCAAAGATTGTTTGAGATCCTGTTAGGAATGACAGAGTTTATGCTGAATTTGGATGGATCAGGAATACTTATTGTCTTTGAATGCAAACCAAGAGGAGCAAAAATACACCCTACCACCCAAAAGCCTATGTGTGGAATAGCAAGTTGATTTTGTTTCCTTTCTATGCAACAGATAAAAATATTGAACAAGACAAGCTTAGCCCTGTTGCAAACTGTTATTGCTCCTTTATTAGGAAACAGTTCTTCATAAAACAGGAGACATAAAGTTTTGATAATCCTGAATGCTTTTTAATGAAATGTAGGCATGGTTTTCCAATCTGAATATGTACACTGTGCAATATACATCCACAGCATCTTTGGCAGCCTGCTGCTCTGCAAATCCTGGCTTTGCCATTGGCTGAAGTATTCAGGGGAATGGTGTAAAAACTAAGATGAACCTTTAGAAGCTGAAAATCTTCTTATGTCTACAACTTACACTCATGACTATACATAGTCTGAGCACTTTTTGATTTAGACAATTTGCAAGCTAAGTCCAGAGGTTGCTGTCTCATATAAAGGATAATGGAAATGCAGTTAATTGCATTCTTCATACACTTTTCACTGTTGTGTAAAACATTCAGAGAACATCACTTTGATTTTTATTACTTCTATTTTGACAGCAAGTCGGGCCTCAGATAAAGGACAGAAATTCAAAGCCTCAGAAATCATATATGTAAATTTGAGGTATAGAAACTTCCTTTTAAATTTTTAGCCATGTAAAATGAATGTTGGCCTTCTCACTGAATTTTTTTTTCAAAACTCACCAAGGTCTGAAGTCCTGTAAATTTTCTCAAGAGGAAGGCCAAGTATCCTATGTGTGAATGTGGTTGCAGGGTGGTATATGAGGTTACTGTGGAAAAAAGAGATATCAGGTATTCCAGAATGAGATGCCACTCCTGTAAAAGAAGGTCTGAAAGAATTTGACTTTAAACTATTTTTAAATCAAAAGCAATTGAATAACAATGTTTCTATGTTTTCAGCATTCGTTTATGATATTTCCCCTCCTTGTCTTCATGACTGGGCTATCAGGAACACAGGAAACACTGACTAACTGTTAATTAATAGGCCAGTTTTTGATATGATCAGAATGTAATTCCTTTTCATTTAAGAGTTCTAAAAGCTCAGATAAAAGAGTTTTCTATCCCAGTATCAGGGAACAGCTTTCCTTTGTAGAAATTCTGTTATTTGTCTATGAACCAAAATCTTGTCTGCTCTCTTCAGTAGCTTCTATCATGGGTTTCCCCTCTGTTTGGTGTGCTAAATAGGATTATCATCATTAGCTTCTTAGCATATTCCCTGCCCTCTCTCCTTCTACACATGCCTTACTGCTTCCCTTACTGCTTTGATTTCTCTTTTTCAGATCCATCTGCAAACAGAAAATTTTGGTCTATATGAGACACTCAGTTATCAGCGTAGCTGGATAGATAACACAGTCCTCTTAAAACCAACCAAACCAAACTCCAACCTCTTCTTTTTAGCTTTGGTGTTGCAGAAGCAATTTTTAGAAACAATATACAAAAATCCAAAGACTCTTGACTGGGAGAGAATAAAAATCTCTCAATTTCTGTGCAGAATTTCTGTGTATTCACTGATCCTCTCTTGTTTGATACTTTCCTAATTCAATCAGTCAACTGACCCAGTATCACGTGAAGCAGAGACCATCTGCATAGTCCTAATGAAAAGACAACAAACCTTGGGGAGTCTAAAGCATACAGATGCCTTCTTGCACAGATGAAGCACGGTCCCATTTATTCAGAAAACACTTAACATCTTTAATATAACATGAAATTGGTTCATGAGCTGGAAAAAAAAAAGGACTACATTATTTATTATTACCTATGCAGTTCTGCTTTAGAAAGAATTTGATTTTACTGAACTCAATGTAGGAATATTATGGTAAGACCAATAAGAATTTTTCTTATGTTGTTCTTTAATGAGATTAGTTGAGCAGGTGTGAAGGTTTACTTGATTATTTTGTAAATATACAGAATACGAGAATATATTTTACACTGCTTCACTGGAGAAGTCAATTCCAATTGGTACCAATATTTTGTGTGGAAATGTTTGGTGATGTTTCAGGTACAGTCTGTAAGGGTATCTGTAAGATGAAAAAAAATACTTTAAACACAGTTTATGAGAACAAAGTGTGCAGACTGACTATAATGCAGGGATTTATTCAAGATACTTTTTTCTTGTACTGTTTAGAGATGCTTTGCATGAAGATTTGGTGTCTTTTCTAGCATAAATACAACCTTAGTCTCAGAATTCTCTGAAATGGGTATAAATGGGCTTCATTTCCCCGCAGTGATTCTTATAACTGTAATCAGGCGAGAATAAAGATGCAACTTGAAGTCAAATATCTTCCAGAGCTTAGCAGTTCTAACAAGTAAGGTCACTGCTGTATTCCACTGCTGTTTTGATCTCTAGGAGTGAGGCAAAGCCCAGCAACCCCAGGGACCCCCGGCCAGGGGCCCATGGCTGGAGAGGGCGCCGTGTAGCGCTCCCGCCCTGGAGCAGCGTTTCGGACGGGCCGCGGGGCAGCGGGGCCCGGTGCTGGCGGGGCTGCGCTCCCGGGCGGAGCGGGCTGTGCCGGCCGGCGGGGGCGGAGGGGCAGCGGGCGCCCGGCCGGGGCGCTCCGGCAAGGAGGCTGCACAGTGAGCCTCGTGCCTGCCGGGGCAGCCCTTCCTCCGCCCTCCCTCCTCCTCCTCCGTTTATTTATTTCATTTATTTTTATTGCATTTATTTGTTTGTATTCACCGGAATAATAAAAATGAGAAAATCCGAGCGCTGCTTTTGGCTGCTCTCCACCAACCTGTCAGTGACGCAAGCGGAGACTACTTAAAGGCAGATTAGAGGCAGCAAGACATTAAAGCCAACCTTCCTCCCTCCACGCCGCCGGTCCGCCCGCCGCGCCGCGCCACGAGCCGAGCGGGCCGGGCCGGTGGCCGCTGCCGAGCGGCCCCGAGCCCCGCAGAGCCGAGCCGAGCCGAGCCGGGAACCCTCGGCAGGGCTGCCGCCTCCAGCCGCCCTCCCGCCACCGGACTGCGGGCAGCAGAGACGGGCTGCTCTTCGGTTTGTTTTCCCTCCCCCGAAAAAAAAAAAAATAGGAGGGGTGAAAAAGGCAGAAGTGAAGAGATCCCCTACGCTTGCCAAAGTCTTTGTCTCCGGATGAACAGCG